GCAGCTTTATTATCATTCTTTCTTTTCTTGCCCTTATCCTTAGAGGCATAAGCCAAATAAGCACTTCCAGTCTTATCTTGCTTTAACCTGTCTTCTTCTTGTACACAATATGATATAAGCTTATTTAGAGTATATTTCTCCTTTTGGTAGTTATAATTAACCTTGAACTGATTAAACTGTGTAGAAAGAGACAACAGAACCAGATGCACCAATAACTCATCACAAAGATCGAGTTTAAGTGTCTTAAGTTTTGAAGCAATATGAGATATTTCCATAATGTACTCCCTGATATTTCCTTTGCCCTTATACTTCATCAAAATCAAGCGAGCTAAAAACGTGATTGTTTCTACCTTATCGTTTTTAGCAGAATGTTTTTCAATTTCGGTAATAAAATCTTTGGTTTTAGTAATCCCTTCGGATTCTATGCCCCTGAAGGCTTCTGGAACGCCGCGTTTTATTATCATTAGACTCATGCGATTTGAACGCCCACACTTCTCATACTCCTTCTTTGCATCAGGAGTGCTATCTGTAGTGACAAGTTGAGGTTGTTCAGTTCTTAATGCAAGGTATACATCTATACAACCAAGAATAATTAAAATGTTCTCTTTCCAAACCTTAAAATTTATCCTATTGAGCATGAGAATTGAATTGATGTTAGCAAAAATTATTACAACAGATGCATTAGCTAAAATAAACAAAAGATTTTCACATCATTAACTATAATTAGTAATTAATAAAATTCAAATAATAACAAATCCTATCTCAAGATATCTATTATAATATTAATATCAAGTCTTTGGATAATAATATTAATTACAAGTGATAACTTATTGCAATGATCAAACACTAACAATAACGCATGTCAAATAATGAAACTATCTTTGGATTGATTCATTATTCACATGTAAACTTTATAATTATCATACGTTAATTATCATCGCAGATGTGTATATAGTCTAAATAAATATTAACCTTCCTCTGGGCCAATTAAATATTTATACAAAAATATACACATAACCATCTAACATCGCTCATGAACAATCTACACAATAGATGTTACTTTGGTAATATCTTGTTTTAATTAATCATTTAGAATGAGAGACATATTAATACCTTAGTATCATAATATTTAAATTAAATAATTGATTAACTACCAAATTTAATTCAAATTGAACAATTTAATTCAAATTAAATAAATTCCATAGCTTAATTAGGGCCCTATAACTTAATTAATTATCTAAGAAATTCAAATAATCCAGACCCGAAACATAAGTAATCTTCAGGCCTATAAGATGAAATTATTTGAGAAATTCAAATAATTCTTAATTTAATCAAAAACCCATTCATATCAGGCCCAAATCATTTCCTAAGTGGGTTTTGGCCTGAGTATTTCTCAAATGAGTTCGCCCTAGCCTTATTTTCCCCAACCACAAGCCAAAAGCTTGCCTGAAATTGAAGAACTCGTCGAACTCAAGTTCACCGTATTCGAGCTTGCTTGAAGAAGAATGTCGAGCTCACCTGATTTGAGGATTGAGGTCGCCTGATATTGGGTTCGAGCTCGCCTGAGGCACGAGCTCGCCTGATTTGGGCTCGAGCTTTCCTGAGTAGGCTCGAGCTCACCTGATTTGGGCTCGAGCTCGCCTGAATAGGCTCAATCTCACCTGAAGGTGTTGCTGACAAGCTCGTCTGTTGATGTAGCCAACGAAGCTCGCCTGTAACAGATCGAAGCTCGCCTGAAATCAGGTAAGATCCTCAGCCCTAATTCCCGTACGATCACCCCTTAGGGTTTCGTTCTGAACCACCACCACCGCTTAAGATCTCACACCCTAGGCTTTTGAAACCCTAGGGTTTCCTAATTGTCCATGCCGTTATCTTCATTTGACAGTGAGGCCACCAGCGATCATCGCCGGCGAAGAGCCCAAGTAAACGACGACCAAACAAAAAAATGTTGAATTTTATTTTGAATTTAATTCCTGAATTATTTTGTATGCGATCTTAATTCATGAAAGTATCCAGATTCAACAACCAGAGTTCATAAAAAAATGATAAAATTGCACACAATTTGGATCAAAAATTTGATCCATATTGAACAAAAGAAGTTTGAATAAAACATGCATGCTACAGTGCAGCATAAAAACAGAATTCAAATTCGTTAATGTTCATGCGTGCAACAGTTCTTAATAAAACAAATTAAGATAAAAAAAATCCTAATTTCTTAAACTTAATCTTAGATCCCTAAGAGCTAATCACGGTGTCTCTGATACCAATTGTTGATCTTATTTGATCTAATTCAAACAATATAGCCGTGATTAATTTAAAGAGATTAAAAATAAAAAGAGCAGAAGCATACCTGAATCCATGACGAATTTGCACGGATATGAATTGGGTTTGATCTTCTAATCTTGAGGGTCTCTCTTTTAGATTTCTTTTTAGATAGGGATTAAGAGAATTAGAGAACAATAACCTTAGATTAGGGACCATAACCCTTTATTTATAGATATTGCACTTTTCTAATTTAGTCCCTCATAAAATTAGAATTACAGTCTGATATCTACACAATTAATCCATGATTAAATTAAATACTCATTGACCCAAATTAACTAATTGATCACTTTAAACGGGTCAACCTTAAAGATAGCAACACACACTGATGTAACATATGTGCCCACAAATAGATTTAATTAGATTTAAATCCAACACGTACGTACATCTCCCCCCGATGGCCGATGGTTCATGGACGCCTTCCACGTTACCGATCACCTCCGTCGCAAGCTTGTCGATGATCGAGTCATCGCCTACCTCGAGCAGTCGCCTACCTCGAGCAGTCGCTCAACGACTCCGATCTCAGACTTAGATCCGATTCCTGCGCTGATCTAGAGCTCACCGACATCGACCGCCTCAGCCTTGAGCTCACCGGACTCAGATCAGGGATCAGCTGTGACATGTAGTTATCCAGAGTGACGATCCGAAGGCTGAAGGCGTTGTCGCCATTGGACTGAGAAGGAGTCGACATGAGAGAGTGAGGATTTTATTTTAGTTTTCCTTTTCTTTTAATTTGGTTTATTGTAAGTGTGGACTGAAGAAGAAAGGTGGAAGCGTGATGGTCACTTGAGCGTCGACTGCTTCTCGGAAAGTTGGTTCAAATGGCTAGGGTTCCCAACGCCGACTAATTTAAACGCGCACTAAATTAGTCGTGGAGTTTAAAATAGTCGGTGTTGCCAACCTCGACTAATTAGAAACAAGTTTAAAAAAACGACCCACTTTCTGATCACGGTGCTGACGTGGCCAAAAAGTGGGTCGATCTCTGTAATAAAAACTGAAGGGAGTCTATTTTTTTTTAAAAAAAATTGGTTTGGGCTTATTTTAAAAATTTCTTCATACCTTCCATAGTTAAATGAGATAGGTGCAAGTTTTATACATAAGTAGTATTGACAAAATATACAGAGTAAGTGACGTATTTTGGATAGTATACTTTTTCCCCTAATTCAGGTAGTGTTTCAAAAGAGAAATACCTTCTTTTATTGTAATGGTATCATTATTTTAGTTCTTGGTTTTATATAATTACTATTTGTTTGCGATTGCTATCATTTTCATCATCATCATCATCATCATTATCACTTCTTCTTTTTTTTTCCGGAGAATTGTCAATGATCTTGTCAGTTTAATTATACCCAAAAATAGAAATCCTTTTTTAAGTACATCCTAGCCACAGAAGGGGATGAAAACTAATGCTAAAAGGAAAAAACAACACATCTCCTAAGAAAGGTAAAAACGCACTTTGTTTTCTTTTTTTATTTTAAAGGAAATGTAAGTATGTCGTACTTTATCTTATCAAAAACTTTATTACTTTATTACCTAAAACAAACAGATGCAAATGCATTATCTAAAACAAAATCGCAACCAATAGTTGTATTGTTTGAATTAGGCAATCAGGCACAAATTCTGATAACGCATGTATAGAATCCGAAGCTTGGCTAGTACTTCTAGAACTGAATATATATCGTTCGGGACAAAATGTGAAAGAGAATTTAACCTACCCCTGGCACATCATTAGTGTATTTAATTATAATAATCGAGTCTAATCTAACGTCGTCTCCATCAATCTAAACATCTTTAATTAAGGATTACTTAACATTTTATTTGCCTATGGGACACACTGAAAACCCTAACCACACTGTATCTTCACAGTTTAGGAATCACATCCACATACTTCATTCCTTCCACGTGTAACTCGTCAACAGGGTAGTCTCAGTTGAGAATCTTGAATTACCGACCCATGCATGATTACGAATCTCAATATATACTAAGTTTGGAATCTTCTTATGTACATATAAGCCATGTACAGGCCCCAAAAACCCTAGGGAAAATTTGATTTCTGATATAAATTAAGGTCTTCAATATTACCGCACTACTCTATACGTAGTGTGGACCTAAGATGGAAGCATAATATGCATGTGAGGCGCATTGAGGGAGATAAAGATGGAGATATGTAGATGACCATATTAGCATCGATCCCTAACTAGGGTAATTAACTAATTAAGTGTATACCCTCTCGATCACCATTAATATTTTTTAACACGTGCACCGTGCACGGAGCGCAGTCGCTTTCGACCTCACACGTGTCAACCAGCCAATAATATCAGAATGACATGACTAACATTCATCAATCCAACAAATTATCACCCCAAGATCTCCTCTGTGGCTTCCTATGGGTCCAAATAGATGACCAAGAATGACCCATCACCAACCAAACCCACAATATATCTCCGTACAACTTGCTTTCCAACACACTGCCCTTCCGTGGAAGATGACACTACTTTTTCTAGTCACTTCCAAGTGATTCACATCATTTTCCACTTACAAATGTTCCTTCTGACGTGTCGGCGACGTCAGATATCTGTACATACACCCATACATACATACATACATACGTCTGCCTATCTGTCCTAACTAATTTATATAGTGAAAGGGGGAAGTGAGAATTTGCAACGTGTCAGAAGGCCAATCTTTTTCTGCCAAAGAAATGGTAAGCAGCCCAGAGTCGAATGGCCACCAGAGATTGGGCGGCGACGGCGAGGGCAGCGGGAGCACGATCAAGGAGCAAGACCGCCTCCTCCCAATTGCAAACGTGGGCAGGATCATGAAGCAAATCCTGCCCCCAAATGCGAAGATCTCTAAAGAGGCGAAGGAAACTATGCAAGAGTGTGTATCAGAGTTCATCAGCTTCGTGACCGGAGAGGCCTCTGACAAGTGCCATAAAGAGAAGCGCAAGACCGTCAACGGCGATGATATCTGTTGGGCTTTATCGACGCTGGGCTTTGATGATTATGTCGAGCCCATGAGGCGATATTTGCAGAAATACCGCGAAACTGAGGGGGATCGCGCTGCTGCTGCAGGTGCATCTGGGGGTCATCTTGGAAGAGGAGGTAATAGCTCTGATGACCGGGCAAACCAGCCAAATTCGGGTCCGTTGATGTTCAATGCCTTAGATAGGAACACTGGCTCATCGTCAAGGCGATATTAGTACCGTTCCTGTATTTTATTTGATATGCTATGATTTGTTTTATGTTCTTAATTTGTTCTTGTTTAACGCTATAGTTATTGTTCAGAGATTGAGGAAAGACTTACTATGTTTAGTGGCTTTGTATTAATTATTGCTTTCTTACAGCTTAGTTAACTGTGCTGGGTGCTAGTTAATTGCATAGATAAACACAGGAGCTATATGTGTCATTAAAAACGACGAGTGCCTGCAATTATTTGAGCAATGGTAATTAATTAATATGTGACTCTTTGTTTAAAGTATTAATAATCTATAAAGAATTGTTATAAATTAGGTAGGGAAGCAGGCTGTAGTCGAGTCACATGAGAGGGAGCATTTTGAAACTAATTAAGTACCTTCCAATTAATCTATTGTTATTGGATCGAGATGGGATAAGGCCAAGAGGCTTAATGCAGCTAGCTAAAATATCTTTTATTTTCCTAGTTAATTTATTCTTTTAACGCAAAAGTGGGTTTCATGTCAATTACATGGTCCTCGACTGAACTTTCTTAATTAGACCCTTCGTAATGCAGGGAATATATTGACGTCTTCGCATGGAACTATGAGGATATGCCCGGGCTCGATCCCAATGTGGCAATGCACCGCCTCAATATCAAGCTGGATGCCAAACCTGTCAAACAACATCAAAGAAGGTTTCGTTCGCAGATTATGGAAGCCATTGAGGCAGAGGTTAAGAAGTTGATCGAATCAGGATTTATCCGAGAGGAGCAACATCCAGACTGGTTAGCCAATATTGTTCCAGTCATGAAGAAGAACGGTAAAATCAGAATTTGCATCGACTTCAGGGACCTGAATACGGCATGTCCAAAAGACGAATTTCCTCTCCCAATCACGGATGTCATTATCAACAATACGTGCGGATTTGAGAGAATGTCTTTTATGGATGGTTTTTCAGGATATAACCAAATCAAGATGCACCCAGATGACGAGAAGCATACAGCATTCAGAACGCCCCTCGGTGTATTCTGCTACACGGTGATGCCATTCGGTCTAAAGAATGCAGGCGCCACATACCAACGAGCAATGACTAAGATTTTCCAAGAACATCTCAGGAAAACAGTCGAGTGCTACGTCGATGATTTGGTCGTGAAAAGCCGTAATAAAGAAGATCACATCAAGGACTTGAAGACGATGTTCGATCTCATGCAGAGTCATCAATTGAAGATGAACCCCACTAAATCATTCCTTGGAATGTCCAGCGGAAAATTCCTTGGATTCGTCGTCACCACTAAAGGTATACATATCGACCCTGATAAGGTGAAGGCGATACACGAACTGCAACCTCCTACTTCGTAATGTAGCCAATATTTTAGCTTAATTACTAGTTCAGTGACAGGTTTTCCCACTTAACCAACAAGTACTACTTCAAAAATTTTCCCTTCATTCATGGGAATTTTGACCTTAATTTGACTTAGCGTCCCTTAAGGCCATAGGTGTAGTCATCTCATATTATATATCGATGCTTCTACTAAAGGAAACCTTAGTGAACAAAGAACCAAACCCTTATCCTGTAGACTGATCGAATATA